ATGTGAATTTTTTTAGTGGATCAGCACAAATAGAACTGAAGGAGAGAGAAAACAAGAGATATTATCAACAAAGCAAAGATTGAACACAATTACATGGTGATTTTTTTTTTTTAAAATGGAACTTGCCTCTTCACCAAAGATTCATTTGATCGCATATCAACCACTTCTTATGCACAAAGTTGGTGCCATTTAGTGGTTGTACGTGTCTAGATCCTTCAAGTATTTGTTGTAGAGCCACTTGGATGTGTTGAGAGCATCTTCATTGCTTTGCACCGGATACAAATTCCTACTGTTTTGCCAATCATTTGTAAGCTTAATTCCTTCCTCCAATCTTTCATGCGAAAATCATCACCCTTTTCCAAATTCTGTCAAAAATTTGAAATATATGGCTGCTCTGGGGCCATAGTAATCTCGTAGAAGCCCACTCCAATACTTGTTTCCTAAAAGAGGAGAAACAAATGTATCAATGTGCATCATATGAGCATTTTTCTAATGATAAAAACAACTTAATTAAGTTTGGTAAAAACAAAATTTCACATGTGCCTCAAATTTTCTGAATATCTCAAATTGTCAAAATGAACCCAGAGAAATTTGAATTTTCTCTAGGTTTGAGTGAAGAAGCTATAAAGATTTGAAATTTGAAATAAAAAAGTGAAACAGTTGTAGGGAAATTTGAAATGTAAAGGTTGTGACTTCCCAGATAGTCAACTGATAAATCCCAGAGGAAATTACAAAAACCCAGAGAAATTCACTGATAAATTCCCAGAGAAAATCACAAAAACTTAGAGAAATTCACAAAAAATGGACAAATTTAAGGAATATGTTCAGTAGATCCTCATCTTCTATGTCTTCATGTACTCCACTAGCAAAAATGACCCCACCCTCGCTGCAGGAATTAAAATAATTAGTGGAAATCAAATTTCTTCAAATTGGTACAAAAGCATTAAGATGATAAAATCTACTCATGATTATGTACAATTATGAACTCACGAAAGATTAAACTTTGAATTATATAAAAGTAGTATGTCATAACAAACACTTTTATGAGATTTTCAGAATTATTTATTTATTTATTTTGATCAGCGAGATTTTCATTATCATATGAATAAAAAAATTACAAGAAGGGAAAAAGATCAAAGTAGTGCTTAATGTATGTCGTTTTAGATTCACTAACCGAAGTAGTGTTCATGGAAAATTTGAAAAGTTTTTTGAATTTTAGTTTCTGTTAGTTTTCCTACACTTTCTCAGTTCTTTTGAGCAATCTTCTCCAAGTTCACCAAAATACTTCAACAGCACAACTGCTTGCTCCTCCTTCTCCAGTTTCCTCCGCTGCCGTAGCTCCTCCACCGATGATCTCTGCACCACCACTTCTCTCCCAAGCCCTAATAGCTTTATCTTCAATGAATCGCTCAATTTACTAGTGTTGCTTCCATTGTTGTGATTGTTGGCTTTCTTTGATTTCTTGTGCTCTGTTTTCAGACCCAAAATTGCTCCTCCTGTTACTAGGAAATATGAAGTAATTGATCAATATGTTACTGTAGCAGATAAGGAGGAAGTGAAAAGGAAGATGCGGGTTTCCTTACCTGATGATTATATTGAGAAGCTCTGTGCTCAAAGAAATGGCACTGAGGAGTAAGATATGGAGATTCTTGAAGTTAAGGATTATAAACCTAGAAAACAACTTGGAGAGAGAGCTTTACAGCAATGGCGAACCTCAACCACACCGAGCCTTCGTTTCGACGCTCTCGATCCACTGCGACTCCATTCTTCTGTCCTCGATTCGCCGGAGTCAGCAACATGATGATCATGAGATCGAGATCGATGAAATGATTTGAGAGAGTCAAATTTCTCTGTAATACATGAGTGTGTGGTTGAGGAACCTTAGATATTATAAAATAATATTGTGGATATATTCCATTATTAAAAATAGGAGAGGGATCTCAGACTAATTTTCTCTTATTTTTTTTGTTTTAAAAAATATATTTTCACTTAAAATTATTTAAAAATTTAGTAATTTCCTCACTCAATTTCTAATTCCAACATTCTTATAACTTTGTTAGTCCTATTACGTGAGGGGATTACTAATCCAAGGCAATAGTTAATCCCCTCACTTATATTACCAACCAAACACTTTTTAAATAGGTCTCACACACTATTAATTCAATTCCCTTTCTCAAAAAAATCAAACAAACTTGACCTAACTCTAATTATTAAAAAAAATAATTATTTGCTATTCATTATCTCAATGAACAATACCACCAAAAGTCCAAATAGCGGATCGAATTTATCAACAAATGATAGGCTATTTGAGAATTTTCCATCGTGCAAGTTAAAATTGCTTTGTTATAGTTATTTTTTTGACTTACTGCAGCGTAAAAAATATTATTTATTAGCAATATCACTCAAATGATGACTTACCATTCTGGCACAATCACATATCAAATCCAATAAATTGTCAGAATTTTCAACCATTGAAATAGTAGATGTAGTAAAATTAATTACCTACAAGAAATGCAGTGAATGTTACTATATGGAAAAATAGTTCAACATATGATAAATTACAAATAATTAACTTACGTAATTATAATTATAATTTTTAATATTAATTAATTTTTGTAATTTGTAGATTTTCTATAATTTTTGGTAAAGTTTTGATTTGTAAAAGTTGTGCAAAAATATTTGAGTTTTGATAATAAAAAAAAAAAATATGATGTGACAATAAAATAACTTTGCCAAATTTTAAATCAAATTTAGTTCAAGATTTAACTTTGCTATATATGATAAATTACAAATAATTAACTTACGTAATTATAATTATAATTTTTAATATTAATTAATTTTTGTAATTTGTAGATTTTCTATAATTTTTGGTAAAGTTTTGATTTGTAAAAGTTGTGCAAAAATATTTGAAGTTTTGATAATAAAAAAAAAAATATGATGTGACAATAAAATAACTTTGCCAAATTTTAAATCAAATTTAGTTCAAGATTTAACTTTGCTATTATCATTATTATTATTATTTACAATGGTTTTGACTCACTATTGATAGTGTTTTTGTAAGTTCCACCCTTTTTTTGGTTTTGACAAATCTTTAAACTCAATCATTGAAAATACTCTTACTTTGGCCTCATTTGGAAACATATTATTTTAATAATTTTTTAACTTTTTACGAAAAGATGTGTAAAAAAATAAAGAGAGTAATGTGATAATTTATAATGACTTTTTAATTTTTTTAACTAAAATAACTACTTTTCAAACGAGGCCTTAGTGGATGAAGAGTACCTTTTTAAATTTGTTAAGTCATTGTAGCAATTACAAACAGTACGCAGTTTTTTTTTTCATATTTATTTTAAATACTTTTTTTTTTTAAATTACAAACAATACATAGTTTTTTTTTTTAAATTGAAAATATATATATATATTTTTAATCGACAGGAGAAATATTCTTTCCGATGTACCAAAAAAAAAAAAAAGACAGGAGAAATATTACATTACACAGATCATTAACCCATTAATAACTAGAATGCTAATAATTATCAAACTTATAGTGATGGAGAAATAAACATCACAGAGGTATTAAATTCCTACCCATAAAAATTAAACCTACAATCTCACACCCCAAGACAGTTTAAGGAATTTTATTGTAATGAATCAAAAAAATAAAATAACTACTACAACAGTAAAAATGTAAACAAAAAAATTTCAAGTTATACAAAATATCATAGATTTATTCTAATTCACAATATTTTTTACACATTTATTCACAAAAAATAATTCATTTAAACATATTTATTTTTTTATCTCATATTTTAATAGAAAAATTTTAAAAATTACTTTCAAACCGACCCATTGGTATTAGAAAATGTTGGAGTCAAACCATAGTTTTTCTTAATTTATGACTAACAACATATGGTTGACTAATTACGGTGTTTGATAATCTGATTCAACACTTAAAATTGAATATATTAAGTAATAATTAATTAAGTCCATTTAGTAATTATAATTGATATTACTTAAACATTTAAGTGTTTCATGAAATGTAGGTTAAAACTCAAAAAAATTTATATGAAACATATATAATTCTTATTGAATTTATACATACTAAACATAAGTATCGATACATACTTTTATAAATGCACTACCACCACCACTACTATTATCATCACACCTCAACCACAACCATCATGCCGCCAATACCACTGCTACTACCACTACCATTATGCTGTTGCCACCGCCACCGCCACCGTCGTCACTACCATTACTACCATCACCACCATGCTATTGCTGTCACTACTACTTACCACCGCCACAACGTTACCACTACCATCATTATGCTACTGCTGTTGTCACCACCACCTTCATCACCATTATCATTGTTGTCATATATACCATTGTCATTTTACTATTACTACCATTATTCTTACTACTACCACCATGCCACCGCCACCACTATTACTACCATCATCACAACCTACCACTACCACTACCATCATCACCGTCATAATACAAAAATTAAAATATATAATTTGAAAATAATAAATTTCAAATTTGATTTTATACATATCAAACAACTCATTTTTAATTCACCACTTAAATTTTTATCAAATATCTTTCAGCTTAAAAAATTAAAATTCAGTTTTCAATATTTAATTTTTAGTCTTCAATTTTTAATTTTTAGCTTCATCAAATACCAATTAAAAAAAAAAAACTTTAACTTATTGATATTTGGTCTATTTTGAAAAGTTTAAAGATTTTCAACTTTTTTTTATTTTTTTTAAATTTTTTTTTTGAAAAAAAATATAAATAAATAATATGATCTAAAAAGCAAAAAAATTAAAAAACTGATTTTTAACCGTTTGGGAAAAATAGGTTATTTTGTAAATATTGAAATCACATGGGTATTTTTGCATTTTCATCAACTTCGAATTTTTTTTTTATTTTTTATATTTTTTTAATATCATTTTTCTTATTATATTTGCATAGGGAAGCAGGCTGGCAGGCAGGCAGTAACTGAAATGAAAATTTTCACACGGGTGGCGGGATTCCTGCATTCTAACGTCTCCTATTCAGCGCCGATCCGATAGGCCCGTTCTCTCTCCTCCCTCACGGGAAAGCAGAGAGAGAACAATCTCATCATCATCATCATCATCATCAAGGCCCTCCTCACCTTTCCTTTCTTTTCACACCTCTCCATCTCTCTTAACACCTTTTCTCTCACATACACATACACATACACATACACATACACATACATATACATATCTATCTTTATACTCTAATTATTTATAGAATCTCTCAATGTGATTGCTTCTTTCCCAAATACTGCTTCCACATACTCTACCCATGGATCCATATTCAATTTCTGTTAGTCCCTTTTGCCTTCAATTGAATCGCAATTTTTTTTTAAAATTTGATCGATGTATTGTATGTGTGTGTGTTTGTTGCAGAGAAAATTGTTCATGATTCGGATCTGCAGATCGCTTGCGAGCTGCATTCTCATGTTGTTCGACGTACAATAGCGAAGGCGGTTTGAATAATATACGAAGGAGGAGGCGAAGAAGAAGAAGCTTGGAGTGATATATAATAATGGAAAAGAGGAAGTATCCGATTGGACCCGAGCATTATACGCTGTATGAGGAGGTAGGGCAAGGTGTGAGTGCTTCGGTTCATCGTGCCATTTGTACTCCTCTCAACGAGATTGTCGCCATCAAAATTCTCGATTTTGAACGCGATAATTGTGATCTGGTATGGCATTTGTACATACATCATCAAATGTATGTGCCTATATCATATATGTATGTATATGTGTACATGTACTTTGTCCTCTGCTTTTACCTGGAAACTTGAATTAGAAGTATTTTATATAACTTTAGTTCTTAGTGATAAGCTACTGCTCACTGGATTATCAATAATTTTGGAAATTGAAAATCTCAGTTCAACTAAGCAACAACCCAAAAATGAAAATCTAAAGGTTAAAATTTTCAATTTTGTTTATCTTTTCTCACACTTTCCAATCAACTTGTACTTTTCTCTGTTCTTGGACTCAATCTTACGTTGAATATTAGAGACAGATTATGTTCACAACTGAATAATGCCCCGCAATCCTTGAGGTCCCAGGTTCCACTCTCCCTAGGGCTGGCCAGCTACTTGGGCGACATTACATATGGTTGATAGGACGAAACTTCCAAGTCTAGGCGAACTGTACCCAGTATCAAGAGTGTGGGTTCGAATCTCGCTTATGTATGAGTCCACGACTTCTTGCTACATGATTGAGTGAGTCTACTATGTAGTACCACTAAGTGTGACCTCTGTGCCTCGGCTCCTTAGGGTCTAGCCTCAGAGGTCACCTTTTTGTGGTTAGGCCCAATAACTGCCTCGTTTGCGAATTGGCTATTTTAGTTAATTTTTTGATTTTTTACAAAAATATGTGCAGAAAGTAAAGAGAGTGATGTGACAACTTGTACTGACTTTTTACCTAAAAACCAAGCTTGGAAATTAAAAATCCCAACTCTTGTGAGCATGATTTTAATTTCCTCTTATATGACTTTTAGGTTCATTATCTGCTTGTGCCCTTAATATTAGTTGTTTTAGTAGTGAGCTTTGCCTATTGTTAATTTGTTCCATGGCATGTTTTCAACTAAAGTTGCCATTTCTTTGTAGAATAACATATCTCGTGAAGCACAGACCATGGTCCTGGTTGACCACCCAAATGTTCTTAAATCACACTGCTCGTTTGTTAGTGATCATAATCTGTGGGTCATTATGCCGTTCATGGCTGGGGGTTCTTGTCTCCACATATTGAAGGCTGCATATCCAGATGGGTTTGAGGAGGTTGTTATTGCAACAGTATTGCGTGAGGTATTGAAGGGCTTGGAGTATCTTCATCATCATGGACATATTCATCGGGATGTCAAGGTGACTAGTTCGATTTTAATTTTGATTCAATTGTACTGTTGTTGGTTCCCAGGCTATTTGCTCTTCTCAATTTATTATGTTCAATCGCCTTATTGTGTGTGAATGGCATGCATAGTTGAACAAATATTCAATACATGCATGTCTTAATTTTTCTGTCTTTAAAAAAAAAAAATTTGGGAACTCCTGAACTTTTTTAACATGATCCAAAGAATTGGATTGTAGCATTTGAAAGTACTGAATTTCAACTCTTGAAAGCTATGGTCGGTGTTGCAAAGTCTCTACAGGTAACTTTTGATTAATGTATAGTTTTATAAGAAATTCACTCTTTTTGAATTTGAACTCTTAAAAACTATGGCCAGTGTTGCAAAGTCTCCATGGGTGACTTTTGTTTAATGTTTAGTTTCAAAAGAAATTCACTCTTTTTGAATTTCAACTCTCAAAAGCTATGGTCAGTGTCATAAAGTCTCCATAAATGACTGGTCTAGTTTTGTTTAATGTTTAGTTTCCTAAGAAATTCACTCTTGTTTCACATAGTTTCACCCTCATCTTACAATTAGTGTAATGCATAACTAGATTCTTAACTGTCTCTAGTAAAAGTTAACAGAGGATTACATACTTACGTAAGTTACGCTAAAGCAACACAAATGCAAATATTGTTGCTGGATATTGTGCTAATATGTTTCTGTAAGTTTAACTGTTGGATTCTTGGAGGAGGCATTCCCGTGTTTTTCACTGAGCTTGTTTTACACATAAAAACTAAACAGAAAACCAAATGAAAATTCCCCACTGAGCTTTCAGATCTACTCTAGTCATTTTTGGTGGGTACCTTGTCCCTTTTTAGAGCATGGAAAGAAGAAAAGCTAATTAGAATTGGCTTCCTATAATTGGCAAAGTATCAACCCTCAGTACCTTTCATGCTTAGTTTCTCTTCTTTTTTTTTTATTTTAATTTACCCCAAGTTTTAGACCAACTCAGAGGATTTCAAAATTACTAAATTGATTTAGATTAATCATGCTCTCTTCCTTGAGGTCCTATGATAAACTAACAGCTTTAGCTATAGATAAGCTAATCCAAACTGGCCTAGAAAAGGCAAACAACATAATTTCCAAGTGGTTTCTGCAAAGTCCCTGATACCTTATTAGCCCTGATTAGAAAGGCAACACTGATCTACTTATAATTCTACATGAAGTCTGTGAAGCCTGAGTTAGATGCTTAGCAGGATAAGCATAGGTTACACCTTTGAACTTCTTACGCGCGCAGTATCATACTTTCAATATACACTTCCAAACTATGACTTTCAATATAATATTATTATACTAATAAATTATAATTACAACTATAAAATAAAATAATAATAATAATAATAATAGAAGGAAGCAGGGAAAAAAAAATCTTTGAGATAGGGGAGGAGATCAATGTGAAGTGAAAAGAACTGATTGTGAGATATTTTGGATCAGTTTGACAGACTAGTTAAGAAGAGACTAAAATTTCAAAAGCATGCATGGATATGACAAGATATATGTTTATTGAAATTACAGATTTTTCTTCTTCTTAGGGTCGTATGGTTAAAGCTCGTTGTTATCACATAAAGAACATGTTGTATTTTGTATCCACCTGTTAAATATCTTTCACTTCTAACAGGCTGGAAATATTCTCATTGATGCACGTGGCGCAATTAAGCTCGGAGATTTTGGTGTATCTGCTTGCTTGTTTAATTCAGGGGATAGGCAACGGACGAGGAATACATTTGTGGGGACACCGTGCTGGTATGCCTTTTGTACCAGTGTGTCACGAATAATTATTTTCTTAAAAATCTTCAGTAATAGCACAGCCTTTATAGGCAAACCAGATGGATCCAATATTACATTATTTACATCTCAATATAGTGTACTTCTTTCTTGTTTCTGTATGTAGTATATTCTTTGATTAGTGGATGATTATTTGTTTTGCAGGATGGCACCCGAGGTTATGGAGCAATTACATGGTTATGACTTCAAGTCTGTTTATATGTTTCTTGCAAGTGTTCCTTCTTGTTTTTTTTTTTTTTTTTAATTACATATTGTGAAGTGTTCTTATTTCGATAATATTCCTACAGGGCTGATATCTGGTCTTTTGGCATTACTGCTTTAGAGCTTGCCCATGGCCATGCTCCTTTTTCAAAGTATCCTCCAATGAAGGTGCATACATTATGTGAAGTCACATGCTTTTATCTGCATCTGTGATGGAAGTAGCATCTTATATTTCAATGCCAATTCACAATTGTCAGGTATTGCTTATGACCTTGCAAAATGCTCCACCTGGCCTTGATTATGAGAGAGACAAGAAGTTTTCCAAGGTATGTGCCTATAAAAGCGGCTTTTATTTTAAGCTTGGTTGTGATTGTGGCATTTGATTTTTTTCTTCCCCTTTCTCTTTGTGCATTTTCTTCGTCCTTAGTCCTTTAAGCAGATGACTGCTAGTTGCTTGGTAAAAGATCCTTCAAAACGGCCTTCTGCAAAGAAGTTGTTAAAGCATTCATTTTTCAAGCAAGCTAGATCAAATGATTACATATTGCGAACACTTTTGGAGGGGCTACCTGCTCTTGGTGATCGTCTTAAGGCCTTGAAGGTTAATACATTACTTGATTTATTTTTTGAGGAGATGAATTGGCATACTGATGTGAAAATGTGATATTCCAATTTGGGTTCTTCTTTAATGAGTGTGCAATTATTATCTACAGAGAAAAGAAGAAGATATGCTTGCACAAAAGAAAATACCAGATGGGCAAATGGAGGAAATGTCACAGGTTTAAATTTTTGGATCCATTGCAAAGATGAGTATATGTTGATAGTTTGTTCTATTTGGTAACAACATATTATAGTATGAATCTTATTATCTCTCATTTGGATTGGTAGTTTGGTATAAAAATTTTGGTCACTAGATTTTTTGATTGCTTCTTTCCCAATTTCCTCCCAGATTTAAATTGTGCATGTGCACTCTAATATTCTTCTAGTCCAATTTGTGAATGTGAACTGTCAGTCATGATCATTTTACATTTACCAAACAGCACGGGCAATTAATGATTATGCAGTCAAGGGGTTCCTTAAACATCTTTCACAGTTTTTGGGTATTGTTACATCGTTGAATTGGCTCATGCCCTTGTTGACACTGTTGATTTTCTTGTTAAGAACACCTTGTCAAAAGATGTCCTCTTGCTGGATTTTATCCTTATAGTGTGAGCATGCTGGCCCAGGCAAGCTTACGACACATTAAAATACAGATACTACACGAACAGACCCTACTTGATTGGGTATAAAGAACAAATAAAAAATAAATGAGGTTGCAGCCCTAATTCTGAAATTTATGGTTATGGATTGACCCACAACCATGAGTGTATTGTTAACACAATAGTAGAATTGCGACAGTAATTTTGGCTGTTTGTTTCAAATGTGTACAACTTTGTATGACTCTGCTCTCATAAGTATCGTCATCACATTTGTGTCTTTGTTTCCTGTTGTGGTCCTTTTTCTTCTTCCTCGATGATAACTTGCTTACTCTCCCATCCTGTTATGTCATCACTGCTTCTGCATGTTGTAACTTCTTTCATAATAGTGCTCTCCTAAATATTGTACATTATTTTATTTTATCTATACCTAATGCAGCCTATTTTTCTTCTGTCTGAATGATAATTAGCTTACTGATTTGACAAAAATTTTCTTCTGTCATATTGTTTCTACCTGTTGTGGTCGTCAATTCCTTTCAATACTATTTTTAAGTAAATTTTTTTGTAAAAATAGAATCTTTCTATGCAATCACTAGCTTGTTTTAATTTGCATTTTTGTAAATTGTGTAGAATGAATATAAACGAGGGATTAGTGGTTGGAACTTCAACCTTGAAGACGTGAAGGCTCAGGCTTCCTTGGTAGGATAACTAGCTATTTGTTCTGATCAGGTTTTCCTTTCTGAACTCATTAAATTGTTGTAAATTAGGTTTATTAATCAATATATGTATATGTTTTCATTCGGTTAGATCCAGGATGAGGACACTCCATTTGAACAAGATCAAGGAAGAAGATCAATTACTTCTTCTGGCCTTGACGTTGAAAAGAAACTCCAGTATCAGCTGTCTTTTGTGAGCCACTCTCCACAAGTTTCCGATGTGGTATGTTATCATTTTTTGTATGATTGTCTTTAGTGAGATGTAGATCTTTTTGCAGTTCTTAATGTCATAATACTTCACAGGAAGATAATGATTCGACGCAGAATCAACCACCTCCTCTATTAGCCGACTCAACCGTGACTAGTAACTTGTATGTTTTCTTGTGTAAATTTTTCACACCTTTTCCTCTCATATTTGTCTGCTGTTATATGTTCTATTTACACCTGACAAATACGGATACGACACCGTACGTCGATATAATAAATTTTTTAAAAAATAAAATAGAATACGGTGGGGTACAGCATTTTTTTTTTAATTTATAGTTAAACAAATTAAAGTTGAATAACATAATTAAAAAGAGAAATTACAAAAAAAAAAAAAAAAAAAAAAGAAAAAAAAAGAAAAAAGAAAAACAGTTGCAGTGACAGTGAGCTGAAATGATAGCATCGAACAGCAATTGCAACGAAAGTAAACATTAGAAAAAAAAAAAAAAAACCCCAAAATTAAATAACATGTGTCATTTTACATTGCCTCCTCTATATATATATATATATATATATATTTTAAGATGATTACAGAGAACCCCAGATATCTCTGTTCATTTGTCTTCTTTGTTCATTTGTTTGCTGCAAAGAAAGACAAATGAAAGAAAAAAAAAAAGGTAAATAATTTAACTTCAATCTAAAAAAAAAGAAAAAACAGATCTGAGATCATTTGTTTGCTGCAAAGAAAGAAGAAAAAAATCTGGAAAAAAATGAAAGAAAGAAGAAGAAGAATTGAAGAAAAACAAAGGCAAAAAAAAGATATCTTTGTTCTTTGTTTGCTGCCAATAAACAGTACAAAAATTTGGAAAATAAAAAGATGAAAAAAGAGGAAGAAGAATCGATCGTTTGCTGCGAAGAAACAGCACAAAAATCTGGACAAAAAAATGAAAGAAAGAGTAAGAAGAATCAAAGAAGAAGACGGGGAAGAATCGAAGATGAACTTACCTCTTCAATCGCACCTTCGAAGGAGAGAAGCAATCAGGAGCACCTTCGATTGAACCTTTCAATCGCACCTTCGAAGTGTTCTTCAGACTCTCTTGGGAGTATTTCTGGAAGGAGATAATCGAATAGACATAGAACCCTAATTCTAATTGGTTCTTCAATCGAACCCTATTTCTGGACTCAGTCTTGGAGAATTTCTTGAAGGAGATACTGGAAAGAGATGATCGAATGATATAAAACCCTAATTATATTTGGTTTCATGTTTTATTTGTTACAAAAGAACCCCCAATTTTTATAAGTTTTTAAAATAGACACAAAAAATTGCTCCGGTACCCTTTAATTTGTAGAAAATCTCATTTTTTACTTCGGAGTATCCAAAATCGTACCCATGGCGTACCCATCACTGTATGGATCGTATAAAACATACCCGGTGCATTTTTGGCGTACTCGGTATGCATGCAGCCGTACCGGTACGCGTATTTGCACCCGGTAAGTACTCGGTACTTGTACGGCAATATTTTTTGAGTACCCGTACTTCATACACATAGTTTGCTTATTATGAGTTCTATGATTTGAAGAGTGGTGCATTTGCTAAGACCAATTTCAATGTTGTTCATTTACTGTGCTTGTTTGGCACTCTGTCGAAACTAAATTTACAAATTTGTTTTTATTTCCAGAACTAAGTATGAGAAATCTGACAATGATGCAAGCACTGCTAGTTCAACCCTTGAAAACCAAGTTTCACAAACTTCTTCTCCCTGTTTTGGCGATACTATTGAAAATAATTCGGCTGGGAGACCTGGTTTGGACGTCAGTGGAAGAATCTTTGATGGCATGGCCATGCAAGCTCATCAGAGGGGAGGTGCATCTGGCAGTTTCATTTTTCCAGATGCTTGTTTTCTTCCTAGTAAAGGAGAGAGGTACAATATTTAGCATAGATAAGCTTTTGGACGTGTTCTGTTTTTGGGTAGTGGGTGCTGTCTTTTTTATCATATTGTTTGGGAGCACCGTACATTACATGCACTCTTAAATTTCTTTGGGAATTTATATTTTTATGAAGATCTTACCTTTTTGCATACCTGTAAGTTCTGCGATGTGCTTCTGATGATTTAGTGCATAAGTTTCTACCTTCAAACTTAATGTTGAGCATGGTATGATGGAGCTTTCTACCACCATGATAGTGGAATGGCTCAGTTTATTTCCCATTGGCATTGCAAGCTAGAATCCTTTCTTAAAAATGGGTAACAATGAAATATAAATTTCAAACATGCAAACCATGACATAAAAAGGACAAGGAAAGAAATTTCAACACGTTTTGCATTAGAACATATAACATCGAATTCCTACCAAGGCATAGTGGTTGAAACACTAAGATAACCAAGTGGACTTACTTTGTTCTACGAAGGCCAATGGATAGGCTTTATTTTCTTTTGAAATTTAGCAACCTTGGATTTGTTGAAATCCAGAAACTCTCCTAGGGTCTAAGTACATCCAAAATGGTGTTAGGTTTACTTTGATCAGATGATATGGACAACTATTGTTAGTGAAAAGTAGCAAATTGGAAGGACAAAAAAAAAAAAAAAAGATATCAAATCTTAAAGTGGCTTATGAAGGAAGCATATGAAAGGGGGTGCTGGTTGAGAAATATTGGACTACAAGGGGGAGTTGATCATAGATATGGTTGGAATCCTTCATGTGTGAAATGTAGAAAAGAATGAGACAGGGCTGTGAAGTGTAATTGAAGCATATTGAGTTTCAGTCCGAAAACAGTTAGAGGGTACAATTCTGGCGTTATGCTTGGTGTGGGAATGTTTCTCTCAACCTATTTCCCAGGACCTATTTAGTCTAGCATTCTACCTTTCCTTGATACTGATGGTCTGTTGATGTTAATATGTATGATGGAGGGGTGACCTGGAATTTCTGTTCATTAGAGGTGTGCAAGATTGTGTGTTGGAGTCTTTAGATACTCTCTTTGATTTGTTGTATCAGATAACCAATTTGGTTGGCAGGGAGGATCGCATGAGGTGGGTGGTACTAAGGAACTTCTGTTTTGGTTTAGAGATCATACTAGTTGTGTGGACAGGTGCATCCTCTTTTATTTGGAAAGTTGTTTGGGGTTTAAAGCCCCTTCCATGCTTTGCTTATTTTTCATGGATGCTGCATGGGAGCAGATGGTGATGATGGATAATTTGACAAGAGGGCTAACTGGTCTTGCATGTGTAAGAGAGCAGAGGGAACATTAAACCATCTTTGGTTGCATAGTTGTGTGGATAGGGGCTACCACATTTCATTGGAAAGGTATATGTGGTTTAAAGTGCCTTCCATGCTTTGCTTACTCTTCCTGGATGCTGCATGGAATCAGTAGTGATGTGGATAATTTGGTAGGAGGGCTAAATTTCTTCCCCCCTGGTCTTCCATGTGTAAGAAAGACGATGAAGCATTAAACCATCTTCTGTCGCGTAGTCTTGTAGCAAGCTATTTGTGGTGTTTGCTTCTGTCTCTTGTAGGGCTCACTGCATGTCTGCTCAGTGCTTATGGTGTTCGGTCGTTCTCAAGAGGGGTTGCTTAAATGGGAGAGATAAAAATGCATGACCAACTTTTCTTGTTTGCCTTTGGTGTATTTGGAGGGTAACAAATACTTGTCTCAGGACATATAAAACTCTACTTGCCTTGCTTGTAAGTTGTAGATGGAGTTTGGTTTACAAGGGCAAGATGACAACCAACAGACCTCCATTTTCTTCAACCTATTTGGAAAAAATATTCAACTTCACCGTACCTCTCTTTATTTCCACCTTTCTCTCTCTCCTCTTTCTATATTTTAATTTAAGTCTATGTTTATGTGGGATGAATTTTAAAAGTATATTCCATTTCCAAACACCCCTAAGCAGAACCTTATGACTATTTTCTTTTGGCTTTTGTATGAAGGGTTTCCTCTCTTACTGTCTTCGTTGATTTTTGAAAGATTTGAGTAGAAGCATGGTTGTTAGAATTTTATGATTCATGACTCGATTCGTACGATTCAATACTAATTTAAAAGAAAACGATTCGATTCATGCAGTTAAATCTTAAACCGAGCCCATCTTACGATTTAATTGCGATTCACTATGATGCATTGCGCTTTACTACGATTCATTGTGATTTAATTATAATGATGTCGTTTTCGCAAAATAAAAAAAGAGATGAATTAGTTATATTTGTATACATGGTTCTATATGTGTATATACATAATTTAGTTATATTTATATTTTTATCATTTCAAACACTATATGTATTTTTATATGTATATACACACATAAAATCAAATCTTATGCTAAATAAAGTGAATTTTATGATTCACAATTCGATACAATTCATGCTATACTATTTTACTAAAACGATTCACGATTCGATTTGCGATTTGACAACAACGAGGGGAAGTAGTGTTTAAGCTTTGAAGCTTTAAGCATTGGTTTTTTCTTTTGCTTGCATGTGTGCAGTCCCAGTCTTGTATACTCCACATATACTTGCCATGGTTTCTGATTTGAAATCACAACGCTCGTGTTCCCTTTTTATTCCTGAAAGATAATCTGATGCACTTAGATTCCCATTCTCAGGCCTCTATACTGAAATGCAAATTATACATGACATGACATGGGTGCCAAGGTTTCCATTGATATGCAATTTCACTGAAACGATTCTAATGTGGTTCGTGGAACCATTTTGTTGATTGTGGGGGCTAAGTTCACTGTGGTTTGGGGCTGAAGTACTTTACCTCCTTCGGTTCAAATATAGGTAGACCTTTTTCCTTTGGTTTTGGATTGATTTTCCCTAAACCTAATCTGTCCAATAGGAAACTATCCTGGTGGCGTGCATGCAAATGTTGTTCAAAATGTCTTCTAGTTTGTCCAGTTCTTTTGGATGTCATGCCAAGACTAATTGGTTGCAGTTTTTCTGGGAGTTTGTTTGCACATTGTCTTCAACTACTAATATTTACATCTGACTATTCCAGAGCAAGGAAAATGATATTTAGGTGTTGATTTGGCAGTTAGTTCTGCCAAGTAATGTTGGAGGCCAGATTTTTGGGATATCATGTACTAAAAAATGAGTACATATCTAATGTAGCCTGTAGGCCAGTGACCTAGTAGTAGTTGGTTAGAGAACTCTATAGCATGTGTGAAGACCATAGTACCATAGGTTTCATCTCATCCCATTTCTGCTTACCATGTGTGAGTTGCCTAGAATCAACACATCATGATCGGGAATATCAACATTGAGTTTTGAATCTATTAGTACTCGAATTAAACCAGTTTTCAACCTTCTATTTTCTATATATACATAATTATTTAGATCTCTGGTATTGTATTTAAATTCCTATGTCACGATTCTACTGAAATGCTATCCATTTATTCAACTAGCGGAAACCACCTTCTTTAATTATTGGTATTTGTTTTAAACTGCAATTAAGAAATTTCACTTCTTACCATGTGAATTATGTCATTGCATTTCAATCTATTGCAATTTCTAGTGAATTATGTCAAATTTTCAGTGATAAATTGCAAAATCAGCTCCAAAACATCTCAAGTAGCAATGGAACTCCTGTTCCACAGGCTGTAGATGATGCACCTCCCGAAATCCTCTCTAGAGCTTCTAGAACCTCAGGCAAGTAAACATTGCTAGTTTCAAATTCTGAGTTTCTAGGGAACTTATATTTATATAGAAACTTAGATTAACTTCGTTGGGTTGTTGTATGTCACCTTAGCTCTATTTTGGTGTCACAGACATTCTCTGCCTTTACGTATAATTAAAATTCTTTCTTCTTCTTTTTCTCTCTATTTGTTTTTTCTTTTTCCCAGCAAACAGTGAAGACCTTGATGAGAAAGCGAAAGGTTCAGTTGTTCAACAAAGGGGGCGCTTCAAAGTAACATCTGAGAGTGTTGACTTAGATAAGGTCACATTTTACTTTCTGCAGTGCTGTACCTGATGATCCTGAGATACTCCTGTTTAGAAGATAACATTTGGTAATTTCTTTATAGGTAGCCCCATCTCCTTTGATGCAAAAGAGTCACAGCATGCAGGTTTGTACTTTTCAAGTCAACTCAATCATGTAAAGTATTAGCTAAATTTAAGTGTAAATTTCATAGATACTCTTCATTGGTGCTTTTCAAGTTAACAAAATCATGTAAAGTAAAAATTAAAATTAAAGGTAAGGTACATTGTATTTGAAAATATCAATTGGCTCTCCTCTAAAAAAGCAATGCTCAATTGGTACACATTAATGTATGTTTGGAAGGGAAAAGATTGGGCACACACTTAACCTTCAGCTAAAATTTATGACCTCTTATTTTTTACTCTTCAAAAACTATTTAATAAGATAACACAGTTTTAATATTAGAACTCTAATTCTAATACAACCAATCAAATTAATTTCATTTGGTCTTTCTTTCTTCCCCCTTTATCATAATCCCACCACACCAGTAACACCACCATGATGTACCATCATCACCTTTGCAAATCAACATATAGATATGTCCTTTACAAATCACAGTTGAGCTCTTTAGCAATGGCCAAATTAAAATTATGTTTTCATGGGAACAAACAGAGTGTGAAGAGAGAAGATTAATATGTTGGCCCTGGTGGTTTGGTTTGGCATGCATGGTAGGCATGGTGTGTGGAGCGGGTATGGGGTATAGTGGTTGGAGGACATCAGTGACAGTGGCATCATGTTGGGTAGAAGTTTGTTCATATGGCCACATAGTTTGGTCATATTCAACGGAGACCAATAGAGGCAGTAGTGAAAAAATGCGATGCAGTGACGGTAGATGGAAGGTTTAGGGGACCGGGTAGGTCTAGATTAACGTTGGCTAGCGTTGTAAATAGAAATATAAATACACTTAATTTGACTAACGAAATGGCCTTTGATAGAGCCGCGTGGAGAAGAAGGATTCATGTAGCCGATCCCATTTGATGGGACTTAAGACTTGGTTTTGGTTTGGTTTGGTTTTAATTAGACTAGTTGGATTGTGTTCTAATTTTAGGTTTCTTGGTGTTACTTGTTTCCCACCAATTAGAATAGTTGAATTGTTTCTTAATTTTAGATTTCTTGGTGTTTAAGAATACTTGGTCTCCAAGGTTTAGATTATCATAAATAGCTATGTAAGGAAACAATATTGCTATTACAAGGCATCTCCAAGGTTTAGATTATTAGACATGGACCTACACAGCTATTTATACTAATCTAAACCTTGGAGACTCTTGCTATGTAAGCCTTAACGCTTCACTGAATCTATCCTGGCCTTCTTTCCTATACAGACGTATACAATCTCTCTAATTCAAAAAGGGGGATTTTGCGTATATATAAGGCTCCAAAAAACCAAAGTAGTGCTTCATAAACGAGGTGGCATCTCAAGTAGCGTTCACAGAGACCCACGTAGACACGGGCCTACAAAACTATTTATAATAATCTAAACCTTGGAGACTCTTGCTAAGTAAGCCTTTAGACATGGTCTTGCACGCTCCCTACATAACTTTTTATAATAATCTAAACCTTGGAGACCAAATATTCTCGGACACCAAGAAATCTAAAACTAGGAAATAATCCAACTAGTCTAATTCTTGGAAAACAATTAACCTACAAATCAGGAAAACAAAATAGATCGAAATTAAGAAACCTAATTCTATATAATAAATCAAAAATTTTTAAACTACAAATATAAAAAATCTTAAAATCTTATCCTACATCATGATGGGTTTGGTGGCAATCCTGTGGCAGGGTTTCCGTCAAGGGTAGGATCTTGTTTGCTAAGTGGTAGTGCCACCTTAGTGGTTCTGTTTTGCATGGGAGTGACCGAGTTGCTTAATTCATACACATTAAGGTTGGCTGAGTTGATTGGGCTAGAAAATCTTGATGGGAAGTTGACTTTAACAAGTTTTAATAAAGGCACAATGGGTATTTGTGAAAATATTACATCAACTATTCATGACAAATGGCTATAATTGACAAAAAGGGGATCCTATTGCTCGAAAATCAAAATGATGGGAGCCAAGTGATATTTTCCAATTATGAAAGTGCTGTCATTGTAATTTAAACTAAAATTAATCTTATGCTTGCATGTGTCCTACTAGCAAACACCTAAATATAATCTCTTTCTCTTGCTCTAACCAAATGCATTCAACAAATTGCATTTATTGTCTTTCCCATGATCAAGCCATTTACTGAAAATGATTGTTTCAATCTTTCTACTTCTCATTGATCTTGTTTATCATCCCACCTTCATAATTTTATCTCACTAGTCCAGACTCTAGCCTAGCTATTTAAACTCTCTAGATTACAAAGAGTCTCTCAAAATTCTTCCAACGAATTTAAAAAAATAAAACAAGGTTAAATTAACTGTATATGACCTGCTTTTGTCCCTATTTGCTCACTTTGTTGTTACTATTCCTATTTGCATCTAAATCATATTAGACACATGTACATGTGTCTGACCGTGGGTGTGCATAAGCATGTGAACATTTGTAAGAAAAATTGATGTATATTATTGATTGATGTATTAATATTTTCTGTCTATTACAAATGGTTCCTTATATAGATCTAGGTGTAGGTGTAGTGGGTTAGGTTTAGTGGAGTAGGTGAGGTGGTAGTGGTGTAGTGGGTTAGGTTTAGTGGAGTAGGTGAGGTGGTAGTGGTGGTAGTGGTGGTAGTGGGTTTATTGATAAATTTTAACAACATTATTTTTTACATTAGAAATCCAGACAGGATTCAAAAAGGTGGGAAATGAGGGACATGTAAGAAACCAAATTTATGATCTTTTTTATGTTTCATGCATGTACCTCAGCCAATGTTTATAAATTGGACTTTATTTAAGAAACACCCAACGTAATCCTTTTCCTCCTTTTGATTTTTGTAATTTGTACACTTAGATCTTTTGGTGTATAGATGTTGTGAAATTTTCAAACTTTTTTAATTTCTTTCTATTGATATTCCACATGAAGGTAGTTTTGTGGTTACTTGCATGTTTTCAGGGACCTCAGGACCTGCTTCTGGATTTAAAATTTAAGTACTTTACTTTTAATGATAGTATGCTTGTTAGTATCTTATATTATTTCATAAGTTTATTCATACCTAAGAAGCATGGACACTTCTACGGAGGAAACATGTCGTGTCCGACACTTGAGGCACTCTTTGGACACTCCTAAAAGTGTGTCCGACACTTCTTCAGTGTGTTTTGATTAAAAAATCAAATTCATAACATCGGATACGTCAGCGACACTTCGCGGACACTTCAGTGACACTTCTTGAGCCCTCCAAATACATTCTATATGATGAATCCCTTTATTATAACAATGTTCTCCATTCTTCATTACACAACTTATGCATTCTAAATATATGCTTAGAAACATTTATAAGATGAATACATTTTGTGTAATATAATGTTATATAATTGTTTTACATTGTTTAGAATATAGTTGCTATGTAAATGATATCTTGATGTTTAATTTATGAAATGTCTAGCTTTTTAAGGTAAAAAATGAGTTGTATTACATTTTTTTTTTAATATTATTTTTGAATAAATTATTCATATATATGACATATAATAATTTATAAAAATACAAAACTTTATTGTGTTCCATGTGTTGGCATGTCGATGTTGTGTCGCGTGTCATGTCGCGTGTCTGTCTTTGTGTTTGTGCCTGTGCTACTTAGATTCATACACATGTATTTCAGTATCAAACCCAAATGTTTTTACCAGATTAGTTTTGTTCAATTGTTTTCAGATGTTACAATAAAAATTTGGCTCTTATTTGTATTGGGCCTATTTTATTTCTTTAAAATTTGTTATAAGTATTTTCATTTTCATTTTTAATTTTTTTTTCTTCTCCGTTTAGTGATTTAAGAGTAATCTGGTGGTTGTAGTAGACTCTTGCACTGTTAGTTATTAAGCGTTGATTGAAATTTGGAGTTCAACTTAATCTAATGACTAGATGCACTTAATACTGAACCAATAATTGAATTGAGTTATATTTTATAGAGTAATCTTATGGGGATGTTATGGGTTGTGTAGGTGATTACCCAATATCCCTTCATTTCTCTTCCATCACCAACATCTGATCCTACACCACCAAATAGTCTTGGTCGCTCCCTTTTTCCGACATTGCTGTCTGTTTTGCAGACAAATATTATTCAAAGGGTATGAGTTAGCTATATGTGTTTGATCTCTTTGCCTTTATTTTTGTAAAATTTTTCATTTGTCATGTTGTTCTCAACAGGAGAGTATTCTAAGCTTAATGAAGCAAGTCTCTACTGGTGACTCTACAGGTGTGAGAAAATCAATTCTTCTTAATTTTCATTTATTTTATTCAAATATGTTGGTCTTACTTGCTGTGTTCAGGCAACCATGTAGTTGATGGAGGAAGTATGCTACTTAATACAACTGTTGTGGAGAAATCATTGGTATGTAATGGCACAAGGTTCCATTGGATGGCTTGAATTCCATTTATATAATTGATCTTGCAATTTAAAAAGTTTGTGCTTTGTGTTAATTGAATAACACTGAATATCCGTTTAAAAATACAATACACCCTCTAGTAATTAATAATTGTGGGGCCTAAAAAGTTATTTTTAATAAAACTATTAATATTAGGTTTCTCTATAATTTTCAATGAAGAAAAAATTTGCTTGTAATTATATTAGTTTGAATACAATAACAGGATATCCATGCATATTTTTTGGGTAGTAAAATATTTTTCTAAAAATAAATAATCGTAGTGATACTTATTTGTACAAAAGCTTTTAACCCCTTCTTTTGTAACCAGCAAATTAATATTACTAATAATTTCTATAGAATACAGATGTCTATTCATTTGTATTGTAATAATTAATAATATAAGAGGATATTTCAAAACTATATTAATTATTATCTAACAAAATTATTAATTATGCACCAAGGAATGAAGTTAGTTTCTCAAAAGACTCTTAACTAATAGAGACTGTTATGTTATAGAATATTAATTGTATAAGAGTCTCAATTATACATGGACTTGTGGCCAATGCTATAATTTTTCTTTTCTTTTCTAATTTATATGCATTTATCATTACATGTTGCATGCATGAGACTGTTATTCAATACATCTCTTATATATTTGTAAACTAGGTTACGTCAAGTGGTTAAAAAAACTAAATTCAAATGGCCACTAAAATATAGCACTGCAATCAAGTCTTCCAAGAATGTTACATGGGTTCAAGAGATAAATAAATTAAAATTAAAAAAGAAGCACAAATGGTGTCATAGTAAACTGTCAAACCCATACTATAATAGGACATTGCTCAATGTCGTGAAAGCTTGGGTTGACAAGCAGGATAAATGTGGGTTTGGAATCCAAGGGCTAAAACTTTATGCCCAAAGTTTTGCCGAAAAAATAAAACAGAGTTTGAGCCTATATGCAATTAGATGAATCAAAGGGAAAATCACTAGCTATAGTGGTATTCTTTATGTGAGTGTGAGTGAGTGAGTGGATAATTTGAAAGATATGCCTAATATTTCATAACTAACAAGATGAAGGATCAAAATGATATTTGTAATGAAGGCTCAGGAGTCAGGAGGATGATGTTGATGTTTAGTTCTTTATTATTATTTTTTGCTTAAATTATTCAAACACTTGAATATGTCTTTCCTGACAAAGAAACAATAATGAAAGTTTTTAAAATACATAAACCAACTTTATCAAAAGACACTAATACTGAAATGATTTACATTTTGGAATCTGCATTATGAAATATGGTATACTTTTGTTCCAAAACAGTGAATTTAGTTATTTAAAGCAATCTTAAAGTTTTTTTTTTTTTTTAGTAGAAAAAAATAAAATGTAAAAAAGTATGGCCAGTTTAATGGGGATTGGATCAGGAGGGGTAGATTGGAACAAACCTAACCTTTTGCACTATTTGCACTAAGTGGCCAAGTTTGAACCACTGCCCCCCCCTAAAATAAATCAAATGTAATAAATTAAAATCCTGAGAGTGGAGTTTTGATGGGATAAATTTAAGAAAATGGACTGTAATCGTACTAGAATTATGTTTTTGCCTGATTAATTTGAATAATAAAAGAGTACATTTTGTTGGATGCCTAACAGTAAAGAAAAATTGCTCTCATGCTTAGATATACTTAAATTTTAGTACATGTGGAATACCATGGTCATTTTCGTATTTATCATGAAGGAATGATTTGTGTAGCAGGTAACATTGGTATACAGATATGGTTCTCATGAACAAGGTTGATCATGTTATTTTTGAAGTTGAACTTGTTGCTTCGTCTAATGAGTATTTTGGGTCACTTGTGGTCATTGGCTTTAGGAAACGCCCATAATTTAACATTTAGGTTGTGTTTGGATCTTTGATTTGTGGGGGAAAAGTAAAGGAAAGGGAAACTGATTTTCCACCCTTTTTCTAAGCCGGGAAATGAGAATAACATGAACAGATATTTGTCAAAACATCACTATTTTTTTTAGTTTGAGCTTCTCCAATGGTATGACGAAAGGCTTGTTCTCAAAACAGTAGCATGGAACTCAAATTTGAGCTCTCCAATGGCTATCTTAACCTTGTTCTATCATTGCTAAATTTTGTGCAAATTTGCTGTGAGGTTTAGCTATAGCTAAAATTTGACAACCCCTAGGTTCCGTCTGGATAGATGCGGATTTCAAATCATGAGATTTGACCTTAATCATTGAAGGACAATAACTCAAATTTAGATATGATAGTTTACTTGTGAATTTCAAGATTGAGTTAGCTTTATCACGATGGATTTGAAATAACTATATAAAACTAGTTATTTGAAATTATGCTAAGAATTCTCTTTTTAGCTACAAGGATCCTACTATAATATATATATATATCTTCTTTCTCAACTTATCTTCTTTCATTGTTTTTTTTATTTGAAATACATAAGGTAGTTTGTTTTGTGTATGTTTGTTGTTTGGTTGCAGCTAGAGGCGGCTCACGATAGGGAAAAGGAACTACTTCAGGAAATAACTGATTTGCAATGGAGGTTTTTATAATCATAAACACACAGCATTATACATCACAATGTCATAAAAAAATCTTGTAACTTTTGAACATTGTTTTTCTTTTAAAATTTTATTTTAATTTTTTATGCAGGTTAATATGTGCCCAAGAGGAGCTTCAGAAATATAAAACTGACAATGCTCATGTTGATTTCTTACGCTATTCTTGTTTCATATAAATTATGACATATTTGTTTTGTTTTTTGTTTTTTGGTTTTTTAATTTTTGTTGAACAGATTATAAACTATTATATCTCTGTTTCAGGTATGATCTTATTCCCTAACTGACATGAGACAGATGAAGAAAAATATAGTCAATTCCACTACACTGACTAAAAAGGAAAAAATAAAAGAAAAGAAAACAGTAAGGTGATTTCAATGACCAACATACTTTATTAAACATTTAGTGGTTGAGTATGTTGTGTAGGAATGTTTCAAGCTTGCTGCATAGCTCCAATACGTGCAAACCCTTGGTAAAATTATTCTTGTACATGATTTTATTATTATGTTCTCACTTTGCTTGTACTATATTATCATTAGACCTTTTGTATTTAATTTTTTGTCAAGTATATAGCAAGGACCTGTTTCTTTTAGTTTGTAAATAGATAAGTATATATTTTCTTTTTCTTTCATGATTCGCCCTAGTATTCATTTTAATATATTCCAACATTTTATGTGTTTGACTTTAATGCAATTGAAGGCGACTATAATGTTTTGTATATAAGTTCTCAGAACTATGGGAGTACCTTGCAGTCAATTTCTCATACTATTATGCTAGGATATGAGTTAAAAGATAAAGATGTGTTTCTAGATATTCAAGACACTTGGCAATCTGAGATCAATTTGGGCTTTTGATCATTTTTTTTTCACTATCTAGCTTTTTGATTTGATGTCGTCGACCTGGGTTAGTGGTGGCGGTTGTGGGGTTGGCTTGAAATGATTTAGCATTCCACTTTCAGCTAAAAATCATTCATAGCAACATATTCTGGAAAAAAAGATTGAGAGTTCTAAATTAAGAAGTCTAATAGCTCTAATTAGTGTGTGAGTCTCATGTGATGTGATACTTTGGCCTTGATTTTTTTTTTTTTTTCACATCATTAGTGCTCTTTTAGAGCTCCTAAATTAGAGAGATGTATCATTTCTGTTCTATACTGCTAATGATTAGAATGGAAAAAACTATATTTCATTCTGCCTATAAATAGAAACCTTCACTTAACTAACTACTCCAACAAACTAAAAATAGTTGGGTAGATACATAAAGATGTCTACTCCTGGTGATTCCTCTGGCTACGGTACTGGGTCTGGTTATGGCTTGGGCAATGGTTCAGGTAGCGATTCGACTGAGTCCATGACTGCTCTTCTTAGTGCAGTCTCCACAATGGGCTCTGGTATTGTATCACTAGCCCAAGGTTATGGAAAGACTGATGAGCCCAAATTTGGATGGGCTTGCGGAGAGGCTGGATCGTTGTACGAGTTCAGATCTGTGTAGGCCCAGTAACACTACTTGGGCCTTGCCTCTGAAATATAAATATGTTAGAATAAGAAATCTGTGTCCGAATATGGTTTCTAGCCGAGTTGGAAGTGTTGTGCTTAGTGTCTTTATTCAGAATAAATAAATAAATGTTGTAAAAAACTTGTATGAATGGAGTTGGGAATGATTTATTCTCATTCATTGCTAGCCTTTTATTTTTTATTATTCATGTTAATTTAAGGGGTTTTTGATTTAAGATCCTAGTATTATTTTTTTAGAAAGATAAGGACAACACGATTTTCTATATTTTAATTTAGATCTTCCAAAACACATAGTGACAAAACTTTTTAATTTTTTTTTCAACTTATTTTAAACTTTCAAAATTCTATATAACTTTTGATGTAAATCTCTAATTTTTTTTTCATTTGTAAAATTTATATTTTTGGATCGTTTCATCAAGATTTTTAAAATAAGATCCATGATGATTACAAAATTAAAAAAAAAAAAAATTGATGAAATTTCACTGACCTAAGGCAGGCCAGTGAAATTTTTGTTAGTTAGTGAAATTTTGATGACTAAGTCAGTCTAAGCAATAAAATATCAATTGATTAGTGAAATTTCAGTTGAACAAGTTAGTGAATTTTCATTGACCAACTAAACAAGATTTCACTAACCTAGGTCAGTGAAATTTCATAATTTTTTTTTTCCAGAATTTCATATTACTTATGGATCTTGTCAATAGGATTCTAAAATATAAATTTTACAAAAAATAGAGATGTAAATATTGTTTTTTAAATTTAATAAATTTTCAAACCAAATTTTAGATGTGAAGCAATTCCCCTTTTGACTTTGTTGGGATAAAATGTTCGGTTCAGTTATTAATGCAGATGAACCCATAAAAGATAGCAAACATTAGGGGGAATTACAAGCCGGTGGAGAGTGAAGAAAAAAAAAATTACAAACAAATGAAGATGTAGGTATGTTTGTGGAAGGGTGTAAATAAAAGATTATGAGGGTGAGTGTTACCTGCATTTGCACCCTTCCATGTGTTGGTAATTTTTTTTCCCAACTTCCACATGCGTGTAGTTTCCCCTAAACATTATAGGCCCATTTTGGGTCGTTCTATTTGAATCAAAAAATTATTTATGTACACTCAACTTAAATTTTAAAATTTTAATCCTTATTATATCTAAATGTGAATTTATTTATAAGGATAACGCATATTAAATTTTTAAATAAAATATTTTTTTTTTCTTCATGGTACACCCTAATCAATTATACGTATTCTTCTTATTAATCTCTTCATTTTCTTCTTCAAGTTTCAATTATTTTCTTTACTTCGTTTTTCTCACTTCAATACTTCAATCCACCTCATAAAACTCACCATTGTTATCGATATCATTATTTTTTTTATTATTATATTGTTACTTGCAAATAGAAGAAAGTTTGAATAAAATCAAACAATAGATGAGAGTAATAATCAAAACAGTTTTTTGAAGCAACCCATCAAAGAGGATGTAATAAATATCAAAGTATAATTATTGATTTTTGTGTTTTTTTAACATAAAAGCAAATATTCAGTCTGTTTTTCGTCATTATTATTCAGACTTTCAGAACCAAATAAATTCACTTTGTTTGGTAGTGTACAACCAAACAAAATGAATTTGTTTGGTTATGGAAGTTTGAACAAATTCATTTTGTTCGGTTTTGGAAGTCCGAACGTGAAGTTCATCCTCTACTTCTCCTTCACTATCCTCCTTCGCCATTGACCTTCGCCAGTGTTCGGTTCCCTGATCGTGTTCCCTGTATGTATGTAAATATATATTAAAAAAAAAAAGAAGAGAAAATTCACAGGTTTTTTCAAAAGTAATTTAAAAATTTTAATTTATTTTATTTGGGTGTACCTAAAAAGGATAATTTGGAGTAAAAAAAAATGGATGTATTGGTGATAAATTATAATCCTAAATAATTTAATAAGATATATTAAAAAATTAGACTCACTTAAATATTTTTTTTTAGTATAAATAGAACTCACCGTCCATGTTGAGTTAAACCTGACCATGCAAGTTTGTATCATAAAGGTCGGTAATGGGCTTCGATTGGAATATTTGAAATTTAGGCCTCGTTTGGCAACAGGCCGGTTTAGTCAAAAAATTAAAAAATTACTTAAAAAAGTCAAAAAGCCAGCAACTCATATAGAAAAGTCAAAGATTCTCTTTTCTGTTTACTTTTTGTATATCTTTTCGTAAAAAGTCAAAAAGTCATCTCAAACATACTAGTTTTTTTTAGCTCATATTTTAGCCAAATAGCCAAAAAGTTACTAAATTAGCCTGTTCCCAAACGAGGCCTTACTCCTTATCTGAACAAAGTCCGGATTATAAATTTATGTAAGAAGTTGGAATGACAAAAAGAAAAAATGAGTGAATTGAGAATGAAATGTAAGTTAATTTTTGTTTTTCATTTCTATTTCCATTTCATTTTTAAATTATTCTCTAAATTCATGATTTAAACATAGTGAAAAGATACATATTGGCATTAGCAAGTGAAATTATCATATGTAGCAGGTGCACCTTCTTACACGGATAAACTCCACATATGTAAAATTAGAGGTGACTCAATCATTAGACCACTTAGTCTATTGCTAAAAATTTTAAAAAATTCTTATTGGTGAAAGTCTCATATTTTTTGAAGGCCATGAAGTAAGTTGGGAGAATTGCAAATTCAACCAATTTATGCATTAAATTGTGTAACTAGGTCTTGTACTTCCATCTCTTTGTAATTATTTTGAGTTTATATGCCATTTTTTTTTTTGCAATTATCCCAAATATAATCTCATTTTGTTGTTTAGTCTAAGTTCTTTAACCTAAGTTCTCAAATAACCTTATTATTGTGTGGGATCTACACTTTTGTGACAAGTGTGCACAAATCACACTGATGTACCCCTTATATAAAATAGAACAACAATTTCGGGGGGAAAAAAAAAACATATATATAACTTTAGCATGATGGACGATCATCTCATACGTTTTTTCTTTTCTTAAATCCAGAAGCTTGTATCGATGGCGATGAATACCAACTGGGGGATCATCTTTGCAACAAATATGTTATACTGATAAGAATTGGGTTGGATTTTTCTTAAGTTCAAATTAAACATGACTGTTACATTTGGGTTCATGAGGTGACCGCATGTTCTACTTTACTGATGCAAATTGTTCATTTTATAAGATTTTTAATATATATCATACATTAAAAAAAAAGAAGAAGTTTATTCAATAGTTATAATATTTTTATTGTATAATTTCTAAAGAATTATATAGTAACAACTGCCAAATGCAAAAAGTTTTGGGACTATCAATAAGAGATGGACTTAAATATAATCAAGCATAGGAAAAATTAGCTTAGACTTGAATTTTGTATTTAATCCAAGCAAATGCTTTTAAGAAGTCATCAGAATATTAATTTCAAGCATGCAATCTAAACACAAAAAAAATATCTTTTACTGAAACAAGTGAAATGCAATATCAACTTGTTAAGTAAGCAAATTAAATTTAAATATTTATCAAAGGGTCCGGCTTCTGTCCAGTCCAGGATCGGACTGGGCCGTGCTGTTGGGCCCGTGGAGGCCCACCACGGGTCTCGTTTTGAAAATCTGAACCGTTCAATGTGTAGAACTCGTCGAGTACTACATGCTTATAGAAAATCACGTTGATTGGATATTGATAGTTATGTGATCAAATCAGTTTTATATAAAAAAAATGGACGGTGAAAAAATTAACAGTTGATAAAAAACTGTTTTGTTCACATAGCTATCGATATCCGATCAACGTGATTTTTTACAGGCATATAGTACTCGACGAGTTCTACACATTGAACGGTTCAGATTTTCAAAACGAGACCCGTGGTGGGCCTCCACGGGCCCAACAGCACGGTCCAGTCCGATCCTGGACTGGACAGAAACCATACCCTTCTTATATATATCATATACACAATCCAAACTCTAACCAACACTCATACTCTGTCTCTCTCTCTCTCTCTGTGGGGGGAGGTCATATATTAAAGAATTGATGGGATCTCAAGATCCTAATAATTTATAAGAATAAAATGTTGAGTTAATGCAAATGAAGAAAGATCTGTCTACATGTGATATCCCTAGCAAGATGT